TAGGGACGGCTAGCGCAGATAGCCCTCGTGTAGCTTTGCGCGAAATTCAAAAACAAACAAACTTTACTAGAGTAGTTAAAGTGAAAGAGATCATGACATCTGGAGGATTTATGAGCAAAGCATTTATTATATATTTTTACTGTGTTCATTGTAATTTTTCATTACACATTAAAATCCTAAACTTCCTACCTTAAGTTTTTTAACTCGTATGTAAAATTTCAGAGCGGTTTTGACCTAACACGTGAATAGTGAATCACTTGATGAAAATTTATTTATTATTATTTTATTTAAATGAGAGTATAAAAACAGAATTAGTTCATTAAAGGTGCCAATGGGACTATGGGAGATTATATTAACTAGTTATCTATATTATCATGGTAAGTAACAGCCTTGAGTGTCATTTATTGTGTTTTTTTTTTTTTTATATAAGTGTCCTAGTTTCTATGTTTAAAAATGTTTAAATGTTAAATTTTCAGGTTTAGATTGTCGGTATATTTTTTCTATTATTGATAACTTATTATTAAAGAATACTACAAAATATGATAGCACGTAATATTTGTATTATTTTTGGTTTCTAATCGAGACTAGAGAAAAATATATTAAAATTTAGCTTTTTTTCGGTCAGTAAAACTTAAATATCGTGTTTTAGAGGTTGAGACGTGTAAATATTATTTTTATATCATTTGATTAGCAAATGTAGAAATTATATTACTGTTTATTTTGTTTTTGTTTATACTTAATCCTTTTTCTTTTAGCCATCACTTCAAAGGCAAGTGTGCCTGAATGTTGTTAACTAATCAGTCATACAGAGGCAAGCTATCCATTAAAAGCGATCTGTTAATATTCTAATTCTTTTATCGATTTTCTTCATGGTGCTTTTGTGTTTTTTTTGTTGTTTTTTTGTCATTTGATGTAACCCGAAGCTCAGAACCTTAATTATCAAAAATAAATAATTGTGAATTTAACTATTTATAGGAGTATGAAAGTCAACCCCCTACTTTGTGAAGTTTTCAGTTAAGCTTTTTGCGATACTAAACTCACGTTTATATTATAAGTTAGCCTGGCATAGCCTGGTGATTTGGGTATTCGATACAAGATATGCAAATCGTGGATCCGAAACCCGTCGCCGAATATACTCGCCTTTTCGGCCGTGGGGGTGTGATAATATGACTGTTAATTCTACTATTTGTTGGTAAAAAAGTGGTCCAAGAGTGGTTGGTGTTAAATAGCTCCCTACCCTCTAGTTCATTACTTCAAAATTATAGCCGTTGTAAAAATTAAAGAAAGGGCAA